AAAAAAAAACAAATTTCTAGTGTGGCTAATCTAATTAACTATTTTTGCAATGATGAGATGGTTTCGCCAATTATGTTGTCTGACGAAACTTTGGCGATTCTGACGACTGATGAAATTACGAAACTCCTGACAAAATTAGTTTGTCTCATAAAATATAAAAATGCAGTTGACTCTCAGTCGACAAGCTTCTTTATAACGGCCTCTGTATATTCCGTATAAAACAATTTTACGATGTAAAAATGACGGTCCCGGAAAGTGACGAGGTTAAGTCTATGACGCGTTGATTCAAATAGGTTCTCGATGATGCGAAGTAATGGCGATGAAACTGATGACAATTAAGTAACTTGGCATCCAAGCTCCCTACCGCAGAATCAGCCAGAGTCACCCCATCAAAGTTCGGGTCGATTACTGCCACAGCACTTCGGTATTTTATCATTGCTGAACTTTGCCACGATAGGGTATTATGACACCCTATTGTAAAGTTCAGGCAATGTTAATATTTTAGTATATTTTAATTAAAAAAAAATACTGAGATGCTGCAGTAATGATCAACCTGAACTTTGAGGTGACAACTCTGGCTAATACGATTAAACAGTTAAACGACTTAAAGAAATTTTTTAAGCAGTTCTAATTCCTAAACATAAATTAAAAGTAAATGGCTTAAGAAATCAAGTTGTATTATTATGATTATAAATTGTAGGCCATATTAAACCAAATTTATTTGATAACCTCATAAGTAAGTAGAACCATTAATATACATACTAATCTTACATGGTCAATTTGTTAAGGCTCCTCGTTACCCTTATTGAACTGGCTCCCAACCAACCAAAATAAAAATTTCTAAATGATTGCTAACTTATGAGGGTTCTTATGATTTTGATGGATGGGGATACTTTCCTGTTATTCCCCACGAGACAGCTCATGCAGACCCTTCGGTAATAAGACACCCTGATTTGAGCCATTTAATAGTAAACATGACCCCTTGGGAAATCCGGGACATGATGACATTCACAACAATAAAAATAGAAGGATTTGTATTTGACTCAACATGACAAATATATACTTGGGACGGCCTATGATTAAAAATTTATCATAATTAATCATTGTAGAATGCATCCTAATCTAAAATTGGAAATTTTAAGTCTCTGCGCCTAATGTACCAATATTTTAAAAGATTAGATTGGTACGTATATATTAAAAACAAACATATTGCGCAGTTTGTGTGTAATAATGTATAATTCGTAAATACAATGCCCACATAATTTAGCAAAAAATTCCGCATATGATAATTATTTGGAGAAAATCTGCGCAGTGAAAAATAAATTTACGGCCGAAAATAAAATAATATTTTATTATTTAAAAAGAATAGAAAAAATTCATTTTCGAAATTTAGGTTGTATAAATTACAAAACAAAGCAAAAAAAAAAAAAAAAAATTTAATTACTGTAATATAAAAATTTTAATTAACTTTTTAATTATGATTAATGAAGAAGAAATAGAAGTTTTACAAACAATTTACGCTCACGATTTCACGATTTCAAATACGAAACCTACATGGTATGGAATTATGGTTGCTACTGGTGATTCACATGAAAATGATAATGATGAGAATATAGAACAACAATATATTCACGTATTATTTCATTTATCACCTGGATACCCTTCTGTGCCTGTTGAAGTTCGTATCGTTTGTCCTGTTTTAATGAAGTTGATTGACAGCGACGATGATATTAAAGAAGAATTGGAAAAGGCTTTGAATTTAAAAGCACAAGAGATGGCAAACAATGAAGAATTTGCCATATATGAAATAGCAGAATTAGCAAGAAGTTGGTTATGGGGCAATAAACGACTTTTAAATACATCAATTAATATTAATTATGGTTGGTGGATAGGGGAATGGTTAGATAAAATATTTAATTGGCAAACAAATTCATATTCTCCATCAAAAATCATGGAACTTCAATTTCGTGCGGAACTTCAAGTTATTGAAAATATACAAGATAATTGCGGTATCAAAATCGATATTTCAAAGGTTAGGACCTTTTTAAGAACAAATCTTTGGAATGCAGAAAAAACGATTGAGGCTATTACAAAGAGTATAAAAGAAAATAATAATGATGATGCGAACGTTAATATTATGCATATAATTACTGATGACATTGACGAAAGAAGTTGTTGTATTTGTTTTGATACATTTTCATCTTGTGAAATTACAACTTTTGTCAAATGTAATCATAGTGTATGTAATGAATGTTTTATTCAATATCTTTTACTAAAGATATCAGAAAATCAAGTTTTCACTATTGGATGTCCTGGTGCAGCTAAATGCCCAAATTTTGTTGACCCCATAACAATTGGACGATTACTTTCACCAAAATTAGTTTATAAATATTATTCTTGTCTTCGAGAATCCTTTACTCAACTTCAACAGCATTCAGAAATTACGAAAAAATCAACATCAGCTACTCAATCAGCAAAAAAATTCTTATGGTGTATAAATCCGAAATGTAATCATTCAGTAACTCAACAAAATTCAGATAATATTGAAACAACATCACTCTTACATTGCAATGGGTGTACTTTAGTATGGTGTTCTTCATGTGATATAATTGGTGGGCATTGGCCATCGTCATGTCAAGATTATGAAACTTACCTTCGCACAAACCATACAGTAAAACCTCTTAAACTAAATAAAAGCAATATTACAGATATCTCGACGAAGCCATGTCCAAAATGTAAAATTCTGATTGCAAAAAATGGAGGATGCATGCATATGACATGTCAATTTTGTCAACACGAATTTTGTTGGGGTTGTTTAGTACAATGGAGAGCGAGGTCACATAGTACTGTTTACGAATGTGATAAACAAAACAATGAAGAAGTTGAAATATCATTTGGAGTATTTGATGTAGATGATATTCAATTATTAGCAGGATCATTTCAAAGAAAATTCAAGCAAGGCGTTACAGTACATTCACAATCGTTAAAAAATGAACAAATTAATTTGGATATTTTGGTTAAACAATATAATAACGGATCAAGCACCAAAAACATTAGAAAATTAAGAATTCATACAACTAAATTATTAATTCAGGTTAATTATGTTATGAAATTTGCGTCGATAGGATTTTTTTGTAAATCAAATAAAGATAAGATTGAAGTAAAAAAAAGTATTGAAATATTACAAAGGATAGAGTTTGGGTTAAGAAGTTTGGAAAATGCTAGAGAGCAAATTATTGAAATTGAAAGAGACGGTTTTGGAAAAAGTAAAACCAATATATTTAATACATTAGATGAAGAGAAAAGATTTAAACAACTAGAATGTGAGATTGAACAGTATAAAGAAAGATTAGAAATTAATATAAAGAAACTTGTAAAATCACTAAATTGTTTAGATAAATTAACAAATATATAGTAAAGTTATTATGTTCAGAAACAAAAAATATTATCCAATGTTTACACGTGATTGAGTCATTAATCGCTCGTTACCTATTTTTTCTTTCAAGCATACCAACTAACAACGCAAGTTTAAAGCCAGAAGGTTTAAAATGTCTTTATCGCTATACTTTATAATGACCTTGGAACTAATAATGTTAATCTGTTATACGTATGTAGATTATATTCATAATTTAACATGACGGATTTTGTTTCCGATGCATAA